CAACCAAGGTTGCTAGCAAGATAATGGCATAAGCGTTTTATAATTATATAGCCCATTCCCCTAATCTCAACGCCATTCAGAATTTTTATGATATCGTTAATACATATAATTAATAGGACTTCCATGGGATAGCCTATGTTTTATGTGTTATTTTTTGTTTAGCCAAGTCGCGCAATAGTTCATGTTCAACGATTGTGTAAATGTTGTCGAGTATATTCATCGTTGGAAGTGTTGTACGCGACTATTAAATAGGAAACATTTTCAACCAACTTTCCTATTTTATATTGAAGTCGAAAGTTCGAGTCAGAAACTAATATTGGTATTAATTCTGCTTTTAACACCGTTCAGCGTCATGAAAATTATATTTAAAGTGGAAAAAAATGTAAATAAATACGATTTTATAATAATATACAGTAAACAGGCTTTAAAAAGTCATTTCATAGCGTTAATCGTCCGTATTTTTGCAATCTATTTTTACACTAAGTATCAGCACAAAATCTGAACTTATCCTTCGCCTGTTATCTATGATAAAATAAAATAATTATTCCTTCAAGTACGTTTCCGTGAGTAAAGAAACATTTATTCAAGTATGTTTATCTTTAAGATCGAGCACCTGAAATTAATATTTATACGTAGGATTTGTGTCTGTAAGATGAAGTCTGAAGTAAGTCCTCATTGCTATGATTCATGCTATCTGTTTAAACTCCTTGGGATCACTTGACTGAACTGGCAGAGTAGTGCTGGCTTTGGCAGCATGATAACATAACTTGTGGTCCATTTCCTATGATTCTTAAGGCCTGAGCAGGTCTTAAGAGGGCTCAATCCATTGCATCTGTTTCATCTAACTGAAGTAGACCCGGGTTTATCTCAATGGCTCAGGGTTAGATCATCGAAATAACAACTCTTGCCCAGAAAAACTCTGGGTCAATTTCGTTAACGTTGAACCGGGTGTTGCGGGATTTGACTACGATAAATTACGTGTTCATCGATCCCTTCGATTACAGGGACTACAGGGTCTGCTTGAGTATAGTCTAAAACTTTTACAGCAACCACAATGAAGAGAGAAATTTATCAATAAAATAAGAGACAAAACAAATTAATATTAATTTCAATTTTTATTTTATTTAAATTAAAAATACATACAGGACAAGTACATATATTTAAACATAAAATAGTATCGGACTTTAAAATCCCGACTTTAAAATCCCAAAAGTTAAACAACTTCTTGTTAGATACATAAGCAATTCACAAGCTTTGTCTTATGTCGTATTTCAAGAATCTTGAAAAATACAACACTTGTGAGCACTCCTTAATCGTTGTATGTCATATTGTGTAATATTTCTTCATTTCACCAGCTGGTAGTGAAAAATTAGGAATACAAAAATACGAGAAAGTGACAAAAATATAATTAAAGCTTCTTTATATGAAAACCTTCTTTATGTTGAAATGGCGGCGTTTTGTTTTACACTGCAATAAAATCATTTTTAACCACAGAAACAACAAAATATTTTTATATTTCACTTCTCTTCAACTTAATTTACCTGAATATCGTGGTTTCCTTCCATATTATTAAAGAATTTATTTAATTTATTAATTTTAGACACATAAACGTCAACAAAAAACAAAAAGTAAACATATACAGCTGATAGAATAGCACACTCAAAAAATATACCTCGCCATATTTTATTTGTCGTATTGCAATTTTGCATGGGAAACAACAACAGTGTTGATATGCCAGTCATAAAAAATTAAGACAATATGACACCTTGTGAATACCCTAATAGTACAATAAATAAAAAGGTATAAAAAAAAACGAAAAGCCTGTTCAATGAAACGATAAAAATAAATTATCAAAATATAAGGTTATAGAGTTCTCACTGGATATGTTTACTGTCGTGCTCATATCGAAACATTTTTTTTTTACCGTATATCGAAAATGTGCCTCACTCAAGAAGGCCGATATAGCGAAATGCCGTATAGCGAGGTATTTCTATGTTCGGACCGACATTGAAACATGTTTTCATAGAAAAAATTGATTTTCGCCCAACAACTTGTATTTTGATCCATGTAGAATCTGTCGAACGAATTTTCAGTGAAAACCATTTTTTGCCCTCCCTAAATTGTCCCGGAATAGCTTTTCAGTAGTTCGTATCCATTTTTAAATGAACTTCGGTTCATGTGAAAGTTTTCTCTAAAAAAGCAGATCCATTTTATTGGCAATCGTGTTCCCAAAAATGCTTACGTTGCTGTTATTAATAATATTTATTTGGAAATTTTTGCATCAGTAGAAACCTATACAAACTTTTGTTCAACACGATTTAGTCGGCATCCCAAGATCCTTTATTATACCTAATAGGATTAAACGTTGTTTTTTCAAATTTTTTCTTGTCGGAATTCTATAAAACACGATGCTTAAATAATAATTTCAAGCAAATATTAAAGATTCCAAAACTTTCTATTCTCGTTGCTAAAAATGTAAACAAACAAATAAATTTGTGAATTGTTAATGAAAACGCATCGAAAACACACGATGTCGGTCAGAACGACTTTAATTTCACAATCCTACAAGTACATAGTGCTTTCAAGTATACATGGTTTTTATAAGTAACGGAATGATTTGTTATGTTTTTATCCAATGTTGCCAACAATATTAACCCGTTGACGACGACACCCCAAATTTCAAAGTAGAGATCTGAAATTCTTAGAGTAGACTATAAAAGTAAATATAAATTCAACTGTAAAAGAAAAAGGGAACAATTTTTATTTAGGGGTGGGTTACATACCGAATATGGTATTTGTGTAAAACGAACTAAGCAAGTAAGATTTTCTTATAATAATGATATAATCTGTGTATTACATACATAGGAGAAAGAATTTTTAATTCATGAAACTACAAAAAATTACCCAAAATGGTTTTAGAATAAAGTAACAAATTCACTTTTATTAAAAATATTCAAAAAGAAAAAAAAATTAAATATTTATAAGGCAAAAATCTGTAGTGTATAAAAATAAAATTGATAAAAATATTCATTTCACCATCTGCTCAAATATAAACGAGACTTTATCCATAACTCGGCAAGGCACACTTGTATGTCTGTTTGTAACTAAACTAAACTCGATTACAAAGTATGCGCAAAATGTTTGCATACTTTTAGGCATATTTTGACATCTCAAACGGAACAAATCAACTGAACAGACAGAACAAAAATTATAATATTTAGGATAAAATTTTTAAATGGCAGATCAAAATATGGAATTTAATAAAAAATAAACAAGAATTGAATAAATGAGAAGTTATTCATTATCAATTCATTATCATTATTCATTTTCAAATTCAATCTTTCCGAAAGGAAAGTTGTCAACCGCTCTGACTTTTTAGCAGCGAAGTTGATGTTGAAAACGCCACCGAAGATGAGTGGAAATTTGTTACCATTGATAATCCGATTAAAATACCTAATTTCAATTGTATTGTTCAATTCAAACGAGATACTATTCCAAAAGGTGGGGTAGCTATTTACCAAATAATAACGTTACATAATATTAGTATATTATGAATCCGAATATTGAATAATTTATTTTTTATTAAATTCCATATTTTGGTCTGGCATTAAAATTTTTTATCTTAGATATTATTATTTTTATTCTGTCTGTTCAGTTCATTTGTTCCGTTTGAGATGTCAAAATATGCCTAAAACTATGCAAACATTTTGCGCATACTTTGTAATCGTGTTGGGTTTAGTTTGGTTGCGGAATTTTTTGATTCGGTACCGCGCTCAAAGCCCGCGATGAAAGCTATTCAATAGCTTAAAAAAATTGTTTGAAAGAATCATAACATGAAAATAAAAATTTTTATGCAAAATACTTTGTTTTCAATATTTACTGAAAGTAAAATTAGTGTTGCGATGGCTATCGAACAACTATCAATTAATATACAATAAATATAGTTGAAAATAAATATAGTTTAAAAAAACTAAAGACACACGCTTTTAAAGAATATCGAACTAAAAAGTTGAAAAAGCGTGGAGCGCTCGATATACGCTCATAGCATTATGACACAAAGCGCCTTAAGCCTTTTCCTCAATTATACTAGTATTTTTTATATATTATTTGTTTAAGTTAATTTTTAAAATTATTTTCAACTTTTTAGTTCGATATTCTTTAAAAGCGTGTGTCTTTAGCTTTTTTAAACTATATTTATTTTTGCTTAGGTTGACAGGACTGTTATATGTTTACATGTCAAATTTGAGCGCGATCTCTCACATAGTTTTTTTACGGCACTATAAAAAAGTCAACCTCGAATGTGTTTTTCGAATTTTACTATGGAAATTAACGTTGAGCAAAAAGTGTTTGTTTGAAATTTTGTTATTCCAATGGAATAAGTGCGACGGACGCAATGAAAATGTTGCAGAAGGCATATGGGGAGTCTTGCCTATCACGTGCACGTATATTTTATTGGTATAAGTCGTTCAAGGACGGCCGTACATCGCTGGAGAACTTGCCCCATGATCGTCGTCCAGCAACGTCAATAAACGAAGAAAACGTCGAAAAAGTGAAGAAAATTGTGTTGGAAAATCGTCGTGTGACTGAAAGAGAGATAGCTAGTGAGCTCAACATATCAAATGAATCCGCTCATAGCATTATTTACGATGTTTTGGGCATGAGACGTGTGTCTGCTCGACTTGTTCCAAAATCCAGCTCATACGTCTCGTCTTGTACGCTATTATTTGACCAAAAACAACGTAAATATTGTTCCGCAAGCACCGTATTCACCCGACATGGCACCGTGTGACTTTTTTCTTTTCCCTAAACTCAAATTGCCGCTTCGTGGAAAGCATTTTCAGTCGATTGAAGTCATAAAAGAGAATTCGAAGAAGGAACTGAAAGCCATACCTAAAGCGGCCTACCAGAAGTGTTAGGAAGATTGGAAAAAAAGGTGCCATATGTGTATCGCCTCTAATCGTGACTATTTTGAAGGGGATAAAATAAATATTGAAGAATAATTAACCGTTTTTGTTTTATTGAGCCAGTCTCGTTTATATTTGAGCAGGAGGTATAAGTGAGATTAGGGCTAAAAATAATAGCTTTTGAAACATTTAAAGCATAAACCAACATTACATTTTTCGCAATAAGTTGTTACGCTGGAGGTGCAGCCATTTCCTTAACATCTGCGCCGTTTTTTAGCTGGTATAACAGAAATGAAGTGATCGTGGCGATCATAACGGGAACACTGAACTTCTTCTTGAGTTTTTGGGTTCTGAAATCCATTGAGCGGTTTGGCATCTTCCAGAGACAAAATTTTTTTTTTTAGAAAAATTTGCTGCGCTTAACTTAACACCATTGTATGAAAAACTTAATAATTGTTATTACACAAACTCGGAAAAAAAATACTTACCTTCCTCTGTTTGCCATTTTCTATTTTTTTTTAACTTCGCGCAACACACGAATCTAAACGCGTCTACTTTGTTCTGCTAACTAACCTAAACTGACCTACTAATGACACAAAACGATTAAAGCATTTCTCTCAATTATATTTGCATTTGTACAATCATGAATGTAATTCAATTTACTTTTTTAATTGGAAAAATTCAAACAGTATGCTCGCGTTACATGTATGTAACATACTTCGTTAATGGGTTAAATCAGAAGTATCGTTTATCTTTTTAAACACCTAACATTAGGGCGCTGTGGAATCTTTCAACTTGACCATTTGATGTATTAAGTAGGGCGGAGATATTAAGTATTTCCAACAATAAATTGGGTTCGCAACTTAACTTTTACAGATTGATTGATAATGTTCCTTACAGGTATTGGTTGCATAATTGGAAATTTTTAAAATTTCCCAACACATGTTTAAGAAAGTATCTTGTCAGTTAAACATATATCAATGCGTCATATTTTACCAACATATAAAGGAACATGAGTCGAATTTTCTTATTTTTTATTTTGCTTACGACCAAAATTTGCAGTTTATAACATAAACGTGGCAGGTCTTGCCAGTTTGTTCTCTGAGAACATCTGATTGCGTTTTCTTTTTTTGAATGTAAGCCAATCCAATATTTGAACCAGGTTCCCACAAATTATTAATTTCCATAACAAACCAAAAATTTCACAATTTTATAAATTTTTATTACAAAATTTCTCAGTGAAATTCAATGAAATGGAAAAATGGAAAAAATTTATTAAGTTTAACATAAAATCTAATTGATGCCGAAGAAGAAACAAAAGTGTTGTTTAGCTTCTGTAAAAAAACATAAATACTACTTGATCAAATCTGTCATAAAACGTTTCGTGGACCCTTTTAGAATATCTTGATTTTTCAATTAAATTCAATAATTGCTACATTTTGTGTTTTGATATTATGTTTTAATAATAATTACATTTTTCAAAGTATACCATTAAATCGAAAGAAATAAAAACATAGTATGCCAAATTTGTCATCGCCAAGTCTCTTGGTCGGCTTCTAACAACAAAACCGACTAAATTTGTTTGAATGACACCGAAAGCTAATAAAAAGTTTAATTTGATATCCAAAAATATCTGCATGCAAGACATCTATTTTGAGGTCCTGTGTTTCACCTATTCACTATGAGTATAATATCAAATAATCAAAAAAAAAATAATTGGAATAATTGGTACAACCTTATTTTATGTTCGTGTGAGGTTTGAATTTTATATGTGTTAGGCGATTGTTTTTTTCAACGCGAAAGGTTAGTGTTTTTAAAAATATTGCAAGGAGAACTTTTGGTTCCAGAACCGCCTACTTCTCATCATTTTTTATATCATCTGATTATTTTCACGTTTTTGTGTGCTCTTCGATTTTTGAAATCAAATGAGATCAAAGAATATTTGTTAAATTTTGCGTTAAAAGTGGAATAAAGTGCTCCACGGACTTGAAATGTTGACTGTGGCATTCGGTGAATTCATTTTGTCTTAACAAGCGAAGAAAACATCGAAACAGTATAAAAAAAATTTTCTTGAAAATCGTGGAATCACTATTAGGGAAGTTGCAGTGGATGTTCACATATCAATCGGCTCATGCCATTCGATTTCCTCAAATGTTTTGGGCATGAAACATATGGCAGCGAATTTTGTTCTGAAATTGCTAAATTTTGAGCAAAAGCAATGTCGCAGTAGTATCGCTTTTTTGACCAAAAGCAAATCCGTTATCATGCCTCAACCCCCGTATTCACCAGATTTGGCTCCCTGTGACAAGCGTTTTACCACAATTGATGAGATCAAGTCAGAATTGAAAAAAGAGATGATGGCCATACCGAAAAGCGCATTTCAGAAGTGCTTCGAAGATTGGAAAAAGCGTTGGCACAAGTGTATTATATCCGAGAGGGATTACTTTAAAGGAGTATTACAAAGAACTTTAAAAGAAGTCTAAAAGTTATAGTTTATTAAAAAAAAATCCCGAAAACTGAAAAAGGGGGTAGCAATGGACGACCATTGAAATTACACTCAGTAAGTCTTGTCAGATGACAATCTTACTGCTAAGAAAAGCACTAAAGAGAAACATTCTGAGACAATCGAACTTTTTTGTTTTTCATATCATATCGTAGGCAGATTGAGAAAGCCGTATAAAATAAAACAAGAAAAAAACGACTGCACCGAAGGTATAATACCCTTCACAGGTGAATTTTTTATATCGTAAAAAGGTATAAAAAGATATTTTGGGTCAGATCACATGGTAGCTTTATTAAATAGTATCGATACCTGAGATAATGATCTATGCCAAATTTCGTTAAGATATTTTGTCTAAAGAACAAGTTTTCCTTACAATGACTTGAGAATGCCGATTAGTTTGATAATAAGACAGAGATAATCAAAGATAGCTTAAGAGGTCTAGCAGTATTCGAGTACGTTGAGTATTTGAGTATTCACAACGTTTGAGTTCATACAGATCCCGCAGATTTAAAAATGTTCTTGGGGTTTAAAAATTTAAAAGGACAGCTTGTTAAGTAGAATTGTGGTTATCAAGTTTCGTCGACTATGTATGTAAGTAACAATGCAAACAGCATTCAAACTGAAGAGCAATTCGTAATAATATATAACATATGGTTGTTTGTGTTTAATATCGAAAATATGAACATGGTCAATGGTCTTACAATTTGATAGTAGTACGATCCTAATTTTAAACATTCTCAATGAATTTTGCAGATGAAACAGAACTAACTTAATGAACTATTTGATCGAATTGTCTAATATGTCCTTCTAGTCAATAGAACTTCACTTATCAGAGATCAGGGACGAAGTCTGAATCAGTAGTGTTGCAAAAGATGTGTATCATGAAACTCGAAACAACAAATTATCAGCAAATAATGTACAGATATTTGGCAGTGAATTGACCTGAAAAGAAGCCAGGAAAAAAAACAACATCCTAGAAATACATATGAGAAATGTGCATGAAAATACACTCAGCTTATGAGAGAAGGTGAAAGCAGAGACCATAATCGTTTTGTTATAAACTTAAAACTAATTGGGAAAAAAGATAAATAGGAGAGGTGAAGAAGTAATGAAAATAATAAGAAGTGTATGTTTTTGGTAATGGAAGTAGTGATTTATAACTATATTATTTCTTTCCCACCAAAAATTTTAAGTGATTAGATTTTCTTTAAGCTATTCACTAGTCTAAAATGTTTTCACTGTCGTTGGAGATTTATAAAACAGCTGTTTTTACAAGCCCTTCGAAGCTGTCACACACTCCACATCACTTTCTTTTTTTATACTATTTTCTGCCATTTTCACTGATTTACTTTAATTTTTTACTTTTTTATTTGATTTAATTGTTTAATTTTTTTCACTTTAACAGTAAGTATTGTCTAACTCAGCTGTGATAATGTGATAAATTTCCCTACTGACAACCGATGGTGCCTAATCAGAGTCGCATAGGGAGATTTCAAGTGGATTAGATTCAAATCTACTCAGTGAAGAGATAAACAAGTGTAATTTTTGTATTGCAAAATGGAATTGGAAATAAGTGAAATTTTAGTAACTGTGTATGAAGCAAATATTTATAGAATAAATTTTCAATAAAGAAGTTGATGGTGTGATAAAGTTGGTGACTTTTTTTTACACTTTCACTGTTCAAACCCTAAGGAATAATCGTGGTAGCATTTATAAACTCGTAACAATATGCATACAAATTTGTATTATTAATATTACAAAAAAACTTGAAAAGTGCAAATATGGTATGCAACAACTTAGTTGTCGAAACTTCAAACCAATTTCGATCAGCAAGCACTACGAGTACATGTAACAAAACTAACAAAAGTACCAAATTTTGGGCACATAATTAGTTTAAGTATTATATTTATTGAAATAGAAAAATAGGACTAAACTAGGAGCATATATATTTTTGATAAAAAAATTATAAAAGAGTAAACAAAGAACTTACGGGACTATAGTAAACCGCGTAATGTCTTGGGAGTTAAATCGTTATTACACGCTTATGCCTATGACAAACATGTGGTAACAATACCATACTACGAACGAATACCAGATATGTGTCATCAAAAACTAGCACTTAACCATGTGAGCAATGTAGTATTGTGCTGATAACAATACCGTGGTATTTCATGAAACACAGCTAAAAACAAGTAAGGAAGGGCTAAGTTCGGATGTAACCGAACATTTTATACTCTCGCAAAGTCAAATGGTATACTCGTTTGAGATTTCTTTGTGGATTGACTGATATTTTCGGTAGAAGGTCAACTATAGGCACTGGGGTCCACATATTTAGTACTTAGGGGTTTGAACAGTTTTGGTTCGATTTAGACAATTTTTGGCCGCAAGGTGGCATACTTTAATTGCATTATTCACGCAAAGTTTTACCCCGATATAATCATTTTTACCTGATTTGCATAGTGGAAAGTGAAAGAATCAGATGGAATTGAAAATGGTGTTACATGGGAAGTAAGCGTGGTTGTAGTCCGATTTCGCCCATTTTCGCACTATGACATAGAAACATGAAAAGAACGTTATGCACCGAATTCGGCTGAAATCGGTTGAGCAGATCTCAAGATATGGGTTTTCACCTAAAAGTGGGCTGTGCCACGCCCACTGACTAATTTTGAACGCGGTTCCTATAAAGCCAATTTATACCATCTCTGAGATAAAATTTAATGTCTCTGGCGTGTTTAGTGTTTAGTAGTTTTTAACAGTACCGTTATATGGGGAGTGGGCGGAGTTCCCAATCGATTTCAACTATTTTCACACCGTCAATAGAAGTGCTAAAAACATTTGCTTCTAGTGAATTTTGTTATTATAGCATTAGCGGTTTAGGAGATATGCACATTAAACCTATTAGAGGCGGGACCACGCCCACTTTTTAAAAACAAGTTTTAACTGCAGATGCCCCTCCCTAATGTGATCCTGTGTACCAAATAACAGTCTTGTATCTTATTGCGGAGCTTAGTTATGGCAATTTATTTGTTTTTGATTAATGGCGTTTTGTGGGCGTGGCAGTGGTCCGATTACGCCCATCTGCAAT